ACTTCAAGAAATGGATGAGCAGTGGGATAGCTGGTGTGCGAGCGGAAGAGGCCCAGGCCAAGACGGCGAAGAAAGGAGGTAAGCGTTCAGCCGTGGGATACGATGTGGATAGAATGCGAGTACACAAGATTATGTATCTCTGGGAGATGTCGAAGGAGAAGCTGAACGACTTGATAGGGGTGCGATTGGCCAGAGGGATGGACGTGCCGGGATGTGCCATGCCCACAGCGGGCACGGGAGGAGATGTTGATACGCCATGGGCCCCTAAATTCCTCGGCGCGACTGATGAGACAGAGAAGTCCTTCCAGAAGGGGAGATCATATGAGAGGATGATAGCTGGTGTGGCACCGATAGCCATCTCTGTGGGAGGGGTGTATGACGTCACGAACGGAAGTAAGGACCCGTTCAGGGCTAGCTGGGGAGGGATCAGCAGAAAGACCCTAGATTGGGCGGAGATCCACATGGACGACACAGAGAAGAGCCCGTTCGATGATGCGATCAAAGGCATGATGACGTGGTTGGCCGTGCGACCATTAAAGTATGCAATTCCACCGTCTCAGGTTGCGGAGCGGATAGCGGTCAGCCATAAGTCGAGCGAGGAGAAGCTGAAGATATGGACGGAGGCGCAGCCCAAGATCAAGGTGATAGGCATGGCAGACGAGATTATGGGGGCCTACGAAAGCCAATACTTGAAGAGAGGAAGAGACGTGATGGAGGAATTCCGGAGAAGCGAGGGGGGAGAAAAAGGATACGGAGTTATGGCGAATGCAGCAAATGGGCAGATGAAGGAGTATCTGGATACACTGTCATGGCAAATAGGGGGACCGACGTCAGTTCTACACCTGTTGCACTGGTCCCTGGCCGAAGAAGTGACCATATTTCCGGAGGTCCAGGCAGACGGGGGGGTTAAGGACGTGAAGGAACATTTCACGGATTCGCGATGTATGTGGGTACCCACGAAGGCCGAATACGCCGGAGCAGAAAAGCTGAATCAGGAGATGTCGGTCGGGAATGAGGAGTTCAATGTGCCCGGGTGGATTTTCCACGGAACGTCTCTAGAGGCGTTGTGGTCGATGATAGCATCTGGTGGGATAGATCGAAGCCATCCGCTGGTCACGTGGACGACTGGCGCTCCCAGTGTGCACGACTCTGCGGGATGCTGGTTTGGACGGAGCATCTGTGGTACAGCGTCATACTCTACATGGCATTCGTTAGGGAATGGATGGATAGTAAGAGTACTGGCTGGCTTCAGAAGGATAGGCAAGAATGTCAAGATGGATGTGGGGACAAGGAGATCGTCGGTGCCTGACGGGCAGATCCGACTGGATGTGGATAGAGTGGAGATAGACGGGGTATTGTTCTGCTTTATGAGGGCCACGAAGATCATCGGGCAAGCACTTATCTGTAGGCCGAAGCACCCGGGTTTAGGAGCGAATAGCCACCTCATGAGTGAGATGTCGGCGCTGATGGAGAAGCATCCACAGGGGGTTGAGAGGCTGTATTGGCGCTATCACCTGAAAAAGCGCGCAATCATAGGCCCGGCCCGAGGACCTCTTCCTGAGCGACCTGTGGATTGGAAGATGGAACGTGAGTTCCTGCATCGGGAAGGTGACGAAAATGCCACGAAGGTCGTCGAACAGCCAACTGGCTCAAGAAGTGGTTTGATAGGGCTCATGAGGGGGTGGATAGCGGAGTTGCCTAGCGGTGGGGGCGTGTCTGGGCCTGATCGAGACAAGGATTACTACCCGGTGGATAGTGAATGGGCCAATGTGATACGTTTATTGGAGTATATGGGGATAGAGGCCCCAATGGCCACGGGACACGATAGCGCCGTCGTGAAGATGCCGTGGAGGAGTTTTGTGGGGCCAGCCATTTACAGACGGTGTGTGGAGAGCAGCGGGATAGAGGAGAAAGTCATGGAGGAGGCGAATAAGGCCACGCACCACATGGGCAAAGTTTTGGAAATGGCGGACGTGGGGAGCATAGTGTTGGGAATAGAAAAGGCACCCAGGAAATATGGGTGGAACAGACCGGAGGACGTCGACCAGAGCTGGGCGTTCGAGGCTCAGGCCTGGGCGGCTATCATTGGTATAGGAATGGGCGGAGTTGGAGGGAGATTGATGGAGCCAGCGCTTTCGAGCGAGCTTGAGTCCGCGGTGGAGACCTACGAGTGGATGTTTGACATAGCTACTGCATTCCATGAGCGCAAGGCGGCTGAGCTGGTGACATGGTGGGCGGAGGGAATGAAGCCGCCACTTCAGCTCCGATGTAGTGCGGATCAGAAGACCTACGTGCACATCATCATACCTGAGGGGATAGAGGGCGTCTCGAATAAGAAGAATCCGGCGTCACCAGGGGAAGTCCGAGAGTGGGTAGGATTGCTATTGAAGGCGCATGGTGGCTATGGAAAGGCCGCGGAGAGTATGTCGTTCATTACGCACAAACTGACAGGAACGCAGGCAATGACCTACCAGGGTGCGTACAAGAAGGTTCAGGAAGTGTGCAAGGAATGCGTCTCGAAGGGCATGGGAGGGAATCAAGTGACGAACATTATTGTGGTATTGGCCCCAGCTGGAATGGCAGCAGGGAATGCTCGCCGAGCAATAGAAGAGGTGAGACGGTTCGAGGCTACAGACGATGACACTAAAACCAAGGTGGCGAGGGAGACGAGGGAGACGATCAGGAAAGCCAATGCCAATGTGCTCTGGGTAGGGCCCGGAAATTTCGAAGAGAATGGATTCCCCACTAACTACAGAGTCAGGGAGGAGGCCAAGGAGCTGATAAGGGCTGGAGAAGCCATGGATAGACTGATGAAGAAGTCTGGAATCATCACTCTGCCTTGGAACGTTATGCGTACGGCATTTCCTCGAATAGGGGTGGACGCGGGAAGGTTGTACATCGGTGCCGGGCGAACGTTCGGCTTCTGGGCGCAGATCCTGTTCATCTCGATGTTTGGAATGATGTGGCCGACCCCGCGAGACATGGAGTTATATGATAGAGAAACTTCAGCTATTAGGGAGGTGATCGGCGAGGAGAGCAGGGATAGCATTGGAGAGGTTGGAGTCTGGCTCAGACGCTGGATAGAAGTGGCGAAGGCAGACCGGTCACTGAAAACGAAAGTGATTGTGCCAGAGACAAAGATCACGGGAGTCACGGAGAGCCTTAGGACATCGGATAGACAAGGGGTGTATGCGGAGATGGCTGCCAGGATAGATGAGTCGGTGTGGAAGACGATGTGTGGTAAGTCCGAAGCTCACTGTGTGTCAGCCGGAGATAGGGGTTCTTGGCACCGGATGAAAGTGATCATTTACACGGCGGCCGGCTTCCACATGAAGGACCCCGAATACCAAGCTCTAAGGGCTATGGAAGCTATCGGGCAGCTGACGGCGATGGCAGATGACGCAGAGATGATGGAGGACGATGCAGAGTCGGATGGAGAAGAGGATGATGCTATGGGTGAGGATAGACCGGAGAACCAATCTGCTCGAGAGGGAGACGCATCAATGACTGAGGAGTTCAAGGAAGGCAGTGACGAGGGTTTCGCCACCGTGAGGAGTCGGTCAGAACAAAAGAAGGCGAAGAAAGAAAACCGGGAGGCTATGAAGAGAAAGGAGCTACTCGAGAGTGCTCAGGAGCTCGCGAACCAACGACAAGAGAAACAAGCAAGAGACGAGAAGAGAAAAAGTGCCGGGGAAAAGGCGGGAGATGGCAGAGATGGCGGAGCACTTAGGGGAACCGCTGGGATAGGTGATCAAGGGGATAGACCGCCGGCTCCACCGGTGCCAACACGAGGTGATACCAAGGGGGCGGTTATGCAGGCTCCCAGATGGAAGGGTGGTGCTGGGACAGGTAGCAACATCAAGACCCTGAGCGACCTCAAGTCCGAGCAGGAATATTCGGATAGAGAGACGCAGCAGGCAACGAGAAGCGGAGACAGTGGCGAAGGACCGATGGTGATAGGATCTGGAGGCACGGTGGGAGTGGTTGCCGACGGGACAGAACTGGATCGAGTGGAATGCGTGGGTACTGGAGAGAGTGGGGGGATATTGAGATTGACGATGGAAGAAGAGGGATCGCCTGTGATAGAGGCCCCATGGTCGAGGAATACGAGGGCAGGACAGGTGCTAGGGGAGGGGCATTTGGTAGAAATGCAGCACTGGATTCGCTGTTATGGAGCCCCACCGATGGCGTGGACAACGATAGTGGTACAGGTAATACGCCGGATGATTAGAGCGGCGTGCCCGAGGGAGGTTACCGATGAGATCACACCCAAAGAAGTGTACGACATTGTAATGGCGGGAATATATGACTCGCAGGTGCTGTCGGGAACGAGGCCTGGCGCCGAACCGTCATACACCGGGATAGCTTTGGGAACTTTGATGAGAAGCAGGATATTGAACGTTGAGAGCAACGTCGGAGGCATGAGGAAGTGGGTAGAGCAATTCTATCGGGTGTGGATGGGCATGAATGGAATATTGGGGACCGTGCCAGAGTTGAGAGCTGACGGAGGCAGACTAGGCCGGCCTGGACACAAGCCTTCATCGATTTCACCGCCGCCGAGTGAGCCTAGAGTAAAGCCTACATCCAACGACGCGGATGAGATAGAGGTGGAGATGCGGTGGACTATATACAACGTAATGATAGAACCAGAGACACTTTCCCTGGGTTATGAAGAGCTCGAGATGCTGTGGGAGACGAAGTTGTTCGAGGTTGTCCAGAGGGCCGGGGAGCATTTGATAGATCGCGTGATGACGAGGATGGAAGCCGGTACCGGGGGCTATCCGGATAGCATGGACGTTGCGGACATGGTGGAGGAGGTGACAAAGCAAGGATTTGGATCCGAGACGGGGGGCACGACTCCCCTGAATAAAATCGAGTTTTCGAA